TTAATCCTGCCTGTATGCAGGCATTTCTCACTGAGATGTTCAGAGATGACTCTAGCTATGCAGGGCTGAGTTGTGTTGGAGTGTTTCCAGCCAGTCCACCTGCTGTGCTGCACAGCGCATGGATCAGGTGATGGCTCTGAGCCTGCCTTTCATAGGTGCCCAAAGCATTAAATGTAGGATTGGTGTGGCCTGCTGCAACATATGAACAGCAATAAAAAGGGAAGTAAAGGTTCCCTGCAGAGACAGTCAGGCCAAGAGCCCTCCCTGCGCTAAACTGGTATCATTTCACACACAGCATTTTCTGCATCTTAAATATCTTGCTTACAAGTTCCCCACCATAATCAGTGAGAAATGTCAGGGCAAAACATCTGTAGATGAGACCAAAGCAAAACAGTGCTCAGCTGCTGGAATTTGCAGCCAGTAGAGACCACCCAAGTTCACCAGTGAACTGCGACCCAACGGTAATGGCATTACTGATGACATCGTAGTCACTGACCCCGCAAGCAAATGGGAAGATGGCAAGTGCAGTTCATTCAAGTTCCACATAAAACAATACAGCCCAAATTCAGTACTTGTAAAATGGGGAAAATATGGCATTAGCAAGGACAGTGCAGAAGTTTGAGATGCTTTTTAAAGCTGTGAGTTTTGACCCTTTAAATGGCATGTATCTAACTGCCAGGCGTGTCCTGTCTACTGGTGGGCTGTGTGGGGAGCAGTGGCACCTTGTGGCCAGTACAGATGTTCCAGGCAGGTGTTCCCACGGGAGAACTTTATGCAGTTACAGGCTCTATATTCAGACAGCTTGAAGGGATGCGCATGGTAAATAGCTTAACTACACTTTGGTCCCTCTTCTAGAACTGGAAGCTTTTTACTTCACGCAGGTGCTAAACTTTCGCATCCACCCTGCCATGCTTTTGTTCATGTTCCAGGATTGTTCTCGAGTACAGGATGCTGATTCCTTGAAGGAGAGACATTATTGACACTGTATATTAATATTGTTCTCAGGCACCACTTAGAGAACATATTAGCAAAGTGCATGTTTGGAGTTGTGATCTGCCTTCCTGCCTGTAGCCTCAGATGACTGCCTGGTATTGAGAGCAGGCACTGTGAAAACATGCAGTCTCTTCTGAACTGGCATCTGTTTGTTTGCACACTGGGCTGGGAAGGCTGGCTTTTTTATGGGACAGCACCATGAAAGCTAAAAAGGATGCGGACAAGGAAACCAGCCATCCTCCTTGTGCAGCGATATAGGAAAAGTCAGGCAGACTTCTTGCTCAGTCTGGCATTGATTCAGCTCCTCTGCTCTTTGGTCTGCTGCAAGCAGCATCTTTACTTGCTTCAGCAATGAAATATTCTCTTGCATCTCTGTCTTTCCTGCCCCATCCTTTCAACAATTAGTTTTCCTTCTTCACCCTCCATTCCTGATTAAAAATGCATGATCCTGTCTCTACTGTGAAGCATACAGCAGAATCACAGCCACGACAGGAGTTGAAAGCCATGTCAAATTTTCCCCTCAAATTTTTGCTTTTGTACCATGTATTCTTTTGGTGTGACCCTAATATGTCATACCTGCAACTTGAGAGGGTACGACAGCAAAAAGAAAACCTAGTTTCTGGTGTGGGTTATGAGCAATTGAATCCAGGCCACGTGCATCTCCTCTAAATGCTGTTCCCTGAAGACCCCTGCATGCTGTGCATCATGCTGCCCACAGTGGTAGTGAGGTTTACCTAGCAAGCCATTTTTATTACATGTCCCAAGATCATGTTAGAACACGCTAGCATCTCATCCACACTGGCACAGTTTGGTTTTGCCCATGTAGGTGCGACTAAGTCACCTTCCAAATTGTGTTCCAGCCCCAGGTTAGAGAATGAACAGAACATGACAAATGCACAGTCTCCCACCCCTTGCTGTAAGAGAACCGTGCAGTGGGCAGATGGGGAACTTTGGCCCCAGGACTGCTAGTCTA